TCTCTGAACTGCGGGTGAATGTTGGAAGTTCACTAAAGCCGCTAGAGTTCAATAAAAACGAAAAACTGCGCTTAAATCTTGCGCAAAGAATCGCCATATGAATGCTGGTCTATCTCGCTGAGATACAAGCCTGTAAAGCGGTGCAAGTCAGCGGTGAGGTGCAGGTGGGGTCATGTGAACTCACTGTCAAGAGCCATTTTCAGCAAAGAAACTCACCAGCACACGTCCAATGCATAGAGGGTGGCAAAGAGCATCCATCTTATCCGAACAGCCTTGTTGGAATGCCTTGAATAGACTTCCATATGAAGAAATTTGGCTTGAAGAAGGGAATTAGAAATTATTTTTTGAAAAGAAGCAAAACAAAATTCAAACTTGGGTTTCTTTAGAAGTAACCACTACCCGATTATTGTCCTCGATAAGTTCTACAATATAGCATGCTTACCTGTCCGGATAACTTCTGTTTTTGCTCCAAGAAAAGACCTAACAGAAAATTTTCGCGTTGAAGAATTATTGTCCGCGACATTGTGACGCGGCCATTTTCGGACTTTTTTTCGAAAAAGATTTTTTAAATTTTATATACATGATTTCCAGAAAGCAATATGTGAATTGTAGCTCTTGGTGAGCACTAGCACCCTATGCAATCCAATCATTTTTTCATCTTCGTTTTCCATCCGAAAATGAGCGATGAAAAAAGGAAGGCGGCTTGCCCGCAACTTTTTGGCGGTCACTGTATATATTTTGTGTTGAAATTGACTACATCAAATGGTATCGAGATAACCCTTAGAAAATATAACTTGCTACGGGTGCCAAGCATTGATAACCTCATAAATGTGTTGTATCAACGACTTTAGCTTCCATCTTGAATGGCTTTCGCTCAAGTGCGGTAGAGACTTCTCTCTTCTACGTTTTGGGTATGAGTGCAACAGAAAGATAACCGGTAGTACCTGATATCTCTCCCTTGTTGATTTCTTGGGCCAGCTATGCTCAGCTTGAGGTCATGACTAGTTTAATGGAATCTCCACTGCTCTGTGCAACCCAAGTGTATACGGTTAAGCATTGCACATCGCACGGCAAAGATCTATTGTATACACCCAAAATTTCGACAGCCATGTCTCTTGAAACACAAAGAGACTAGAAGTAAACATTTGCTACTTCTTATCGCCCAAAGTATGGATTGTTTTCAAAGCAGAACATACATTGTTTCCCTCCTATCTGTGTTTTCCTGCTATATAACCGGACGAAATAAGCTGCAGTAGCGTTCTTCTTCCCGAGACAGTATGGTTAGTGATTTTATCATTTTCGCACGGAGGAATTTTTTGTTAAGTGTGACGAGGAAAACCTCTGAAAGTTTTAAATCTCGGAGACTCAACTTTCTTTATTGTTAAATATATAGTCCGCCTAATTTAACAGTGGAAGTAATATGTGCTGCAATTCGGTGTATGCAGAGTATTTCCAACCTTTCTGAGAATATCATGATGTCAAAAGAACAGTATACGAAGTATTAAGGAGCATTCTAGAGAAGAGGTTTATTGAGCATTCTTGGTGGTATGTCCTTAGATAAATGTATCAACAATATTAGGGGCATATACCAAAGTGATTCTGATAATGTTAAATAATTGACAGTTGTCTGTAAGCCACCTCATCTCTTGCAAAAGTGTGCATTTAGTTGTTGAGATTTGAGCGTTATTTTAGTTCATCTTCGCTAGTGCTCAGACTGTTTCCATTATGTGTCTGCACTTCGCACCGGCTTTTTCCTGAAGTTTGGCGCGTCCCTTTGCACGAATATAATACATTCGACCATTCATTATCATTTTAGTTTTACCAATTTTATTAGTGCCGGTCTCTCGGCGCTTTGTGCCAGCAAAATAAACATAATCGCAGAACTTTGATTGAATGAGGGATGGTTTCTAGACCAAATAATCTGCCGAACTGCTTTGCAAAAAAAACTGCCTCTCAAAGTAACATCAATTTGCTCGTACTTCTTAAGAGCTTTAAAAAGTATAATAACAAATTTTCCGCTTGCACAAAAGCACTTTTGATAAATATGTGCCAAGTTGAAAAGTCAATAAATTTGGCAACGTTCCTCCAAACAGAAGTGAGCTTGCTCTGAGAAAGGACCTTCTCCTTTTTCGGAAGAGACTGCTCAAAGGAATATTTTCACTATGTTCCACCTTCAAGCATTCGGGATAAGTGACATCAAAGCCATTAACTGCTCTGAAAGGAGCGTTCGCAGAAGAAGCGGTTAGAGCTGATTGTGAGGTTTTATGGAAGTGCGTTACTTTTGAATCAACGCAACCTATCAGCCCCGACAACAAATCAAGGATTCACACATCTGATAAGCTGCTGGATAGAAGTACCTTTGGAAACATATTGGACTGGGAGCATTTGACTTTGATTTATTAATTGATATTCAAAAGTAATCTGATGCGATTCTCGGTAAATCTTTTAGGAGAAGTTCGCTCTAGTGCTGTGTTCGCTGTTCTTCATCTGCGAGTGCACAAGCAGAATTGGCCACAGAGCCATATTGAGTAAGCTCTGTAACCTTACTTCACCACATAAAAGATCTATCACAGATGAATTAGACGTGCCGTCAAAACAGCTTGACGACGACGATTTGGTCGATTACGTCAACAGCAAACAACATTTATGGGAGGTGAGTTCTACGTGAAGTATGGTTGAAAGAGAAAGAGATGTTAAACTGGCCCAGTATTAGGTGGGTGCAAAAGCAATGTGCGTTTCTCTAGTCAATGTCTCAGGACAACCTTTTTACAACAACCTTTTTTCTTTGAGAATACTAGCATACCGTCAAACAACTCTTTTCATGCTCTCTCTCCAATGATGGTTAAAATGAGCTTTCAGCCTCATTCGTTATAAGTTCAAATAGTTTCACACAACCACACTCGATTCCAGAATTTCTTTGCATTTTTTCTGGCCAGAACTCAAGCGCGAATGAAGGCATTGTCTCGAAAATCTGACTATTGTATGTAATAGAAATTCTCTACAATGTTTATATTCTACTGTCTTCTTTCTTATCTAAACTTAGATTTCGGCGTCTCAACCGTGAGTAGTCATTTTGGTCATTCCGTGGCCCATGAACTTCCTTTGAGGAAGACAATCGCCAAAGCTTTGCTCATTTCTGTAGGCGTTAGGATAAATCTCCTGTTGACAGTTTTTGCACAAGTGTTTAGCTGTTCACTACGCAGAAAATCAGAAAAGCATATGCTTTGAGGCCTTCAAAAAATGCTGAAAAGGGGGACAATTTTGGATTTTGATTTTTTCCTTTCCGCATATATTCTTACTTTGAGCCCTTTCTTGTACTTCTGGCTTGCAGCTACAAGTTAGTCCACTTATCATTTATACCAACAATTTTTGAAGAGAGTTATGATCAGTTAAAAATGAGGTTGGAAAAAACTTTTTTTGATTATCAATCCATATTTTTCGGCCGGTTTGTGATATGATTATAGGTTGATGTGTGCTTATTGCGAAAAGTCTGCTGCTTCTAGTGGTCTTTTATAACATTGAAAAATATAGAAATTTTAGAATGTTATAGCACGTCAAAGTGAGAACTCGCAAAACGCGCGTAACTTTTGCACCAACCTAACACCATTGAATGCGAAAAATTTAGTGGAAACTTAGAAAGCTGATTGCAAAACTTTCTTCTGCCCGAGACAGTTTTGCACCTCATGACACGAGCTTTCATGCAAATACAAACATCTGTCAAATTTTTATAACTGTTTCCTCCAATTCGATTCCTGACGGACTAGCTTTTTGATTTGTAGCTTACAAGGTCCGTTTAGTCAAAGAGGCCTTTTCAAACGTATCCTAAACCGCTTTGAAGAGTATTGAACGCTGATTCCAAATCTGTTTTCATAATCTGCGAGACGTTTCTGGAGGCTGAGTTATGAGTGTTTTTTAGAGGAGTAAATGAACTGCTTTGATGACCAAATATAGTGCATCTAAAAAGCCATGTGTAACATATTGCGAAAGGTTGGAGATTTTCTGGAGGGTGTAAAAGTATGGAACATTTCCCTCATCTTGTATATTAGACATGTGATTTTCCATCTTTACCTATTCTTTGGAAGGGTGCAAAAAGTATCATTCGTTACGTTCTCTTCACGCTCAAGTATAGCAATGTTGAGCATGAGTGTGTTAGCCAGAAATTACCTTTGAATGGAGTCCTCTGATAATTAACATTGATTTGTTCGAGTTGCGCATTCAATTTAACCCCAAAAACGCTCATATCTCGGCGACCAGAAGCGCTTGGCAGATAATGAAGACAGATTTGGGACCACCTTTCATCGCTCTCTTGTTAGCTATTTGGTTTGTACACACATAATGCAAAGGAATTTTTGAAAGGAAAAATGAAAATTGGGTTTATTTTCTTTTTCGAAGCTTGACCTAAACAGATGCCACAAGCGACACGATTCCAGACCATCATGAAGAACATGAGACGTTCCAAAAAAGATAATTGAAATGCTTCGAATAATTGCCGCGCAACTGCGCTAGTTTAGGCTTCTTTCTATTCAGTACCGCTTCGACGACCAAGTACAGTGCCTCAGAAAAGTCATGTGTAACATCGTAGATTAGAGAAATCATATTTTACAACTTTACAGAAATTCCTTGGAAGGGTGCAGAAAATTGTTTTATCACCTTTTGTGTCGCAAGCTCAGCTGTTTGGAAAAGTTATGAATAATTTGACAGCTCAATCCGCCAGAAAGCAGAGAGTGCATTCACTTAATGTGCAGGGGATATAGGACTTCGAGCTGGTGCAAAGCTCTCCTTATATCCACTCATTTTAGCACGTAATAAGTGTTGAGCTCCGTGAGAACTTTAATTTGGCTTTTTCTTTAACCGACTCCAAGTTCTCCGATAAAAGCGTAGACCAAAATGAAATGCATTCTCACTGCAACGACCTTATTGATAACTAGATATATCCTCTAAATACGCAGGCTGAATTCAACGAGCGATTTTCTTCCAATAATGAAGAGACGAGGAAGTACATGCTTGGAGTTAATAATGCATGGTTTTCTGCTAAAACTTTGAAATCATTGAGTTCAACAAGGTGAGCACTATTGTTCAAGGTGATGTTCTAACTTGAATTCAAGATCTTTAACTGTAGGCAATTTCCAGGTTTCTAAATATAAGCCTTCCTGAAGAATTCGATGCTCGAGCATGGTGGCCGTCATGCGAATCTATTGGCTTTATTCGGGACCAGAGCAGCTGCGGTAAGAGAAAAGATATGTTAATAAATATCTAACAAATCTTTTCTAGGATCTTGTTGGGCTTTCGGCGCAGTTGAAGCGATGTCCGATAGGATTTGCATTGCTTCAAGAGGGGAGTTGACCCCAACCTTGTCTGCGGACGATATACTTGCTTGTTGTGAATCATGTGGATATGGGTGAGCACCTTGTACGAACCTTACCTTGTGTAATGCAACTTCTTCTTCGTAGATGTCGTGGAGGCTACCCTGACAAAGCTTGGGAGTACTGGGTAGAAAATGGTGTCGTGACTGGAGGTGGATATAAGGACAACGTAAGCATTACCTTTTTAACTACACTAAGATCTACTGAGCGCGCTTGAATAAGATTCTGGTTATTGCTTTTTTTGTTGTAATTTCTGCACAACCGCAAGAGGACCTCGTTTTCTTCATACTAGTCGAAACCACTTGAAAAGCTTTTGCGAATGGTCCAAAGCTTGTCGGCTAGTTCCAATTCTATCACGATTTTTTTTTTGATTTGATCCTTGCTTGGCACTTTAGCCCATGCTGAATCGGCCTACTCTTCTTCAGCCCTTTCCATGCAGTAAAGTTTGAGCAGCGTCAACTTTTAGAGTCGTGCGAAAGAGCGTCTTGAGTTCTTTCGAACGCATTATGCCTTAGAGTTTGTAGCTACACGGAAAACAGCTAATTTTGTAGTTGAGAATCCAAGGTTTTTGCGGACTTATCCGTTAGGTAATCGAGCTGAAAGCCACTGCCGTTTTGTTGGATGATAATCGAACGATAGTGTTAGCGCAAAAATAGTGGCGGATAAGCAAGGGCAGCATGCATAAACATCACGCTGAGAAGGGGAGCGCAGCTTGAAAAAAGCTTCATTTCGTGGAAAAGTTCAGAAAAACTAATTTTACGCTGTCCATTTACCAAGTATTTTCGCCAGGTCCCAGCACAGATCGTCTGGAAGCATGCTGGACTTCGTTTTTGGAGCAAAAAGCAAAGGAGATATCGTTTATGACGAATCGAGGCCAAGCACCAAGAGAATAAGCGCCATTTAGTCGAACACAAGCTTTTCGGACAGGTTGTTACCGCACGATTGACATGCTCTATCGTGTATGGCGAAAAGTGCGCGCGATTTAAAAGCGAGGCTAAAATAAACAAATTGCTTGTCTACGGCGCACACAGAGTCATATGACATCAAAATTTATACATAGAAAATCATTTGCGGAAGAATTATGTAAAAATATTTGAAAACTTATGTGAAGTAATACCTTTCTCAAACTTCCGTCTCCAGACGGTCACCAGGCGATCTGAGATCGTCTGGAGCATATATTTCTGTCACTTCACATAATTTTTGGATTTTTCTATCATGGACGGATTCCCCGGTCAAAAATCTATCCCCGAGCATGAAGACATTTTCATATCATTGGCTTTGCTTTGTTTTTTGCCTTCATTTTTTCGTAAATCGCTTTGTTAAGTATCGCGCTCCAATGCCAAACTCTTGGGCATGCATAGCATTCAGCTTCAATTTGGATTTTCACTCTTACCTCACTTTATTCTTTCAGATTATAAATTTTTCTTGTTTTCATCTTCTCCTAAGAAGATAGGTCAGAAAGGACTTCGTAAAACTTCCGAAATGGGAGACTTCCTTTTCAGAAACCCTAGAAACCGACTCGTGCCGGGCCCTGATTTTCACTGACAATTGCTGTGGAAGGATCGCATTTGCATAAGCCGCGTTTTCCAATCTGATCTCGCGATGATCCCAGCGCCAACATTCTTTTCTTCAAAGTTATTTTTTTTGCTTAAAGTTGATGGCAACCTCGTGTTCTGTTGCCCGATCTTTGTTCATTATGTTCATAAAAAGGACAGTGACTTGAGGATGGATAGACAGCGAAACAAATCTCCGGAGCTCCAGAACAAAGTGCTATTTTTTGAGCTGCGCTCCCCTCCCCAGCGTGAATTTAATGCAAACTGACGTAAGAATGTCGTGCCGAAAATATGCGAAAGAATAAGAAAAAATTTTCGCGGTACAAGAAGAATAACGTCACATACTTTCATTGTGAAAAAGCTCCTTCCACGTTTTACTCTTTTTTCTTCTCACTCATTCTAGTGTAAGGCTCGTATGCACGTATATCCCTCTGGGGATGGGAGGGGATCTGAGAGGAGTGCGTCATTAGAGGTTCCTAGGTAAGCAACTCACATTTTCAAAGCCATTTATCTTCCCATAAACTTTAAGAAAATGCTGAAAAATTGTACTAAGGATTTACTATGCACTGCAAAACATGTTCATAGTAGAAATTAAAGGAATCTCAATAAGGGTGTCTCAAGGATGTGCACACTGTTTGATCGTGAATAACTCTCTTGCTTTTACGTCTTTTGCCGGAGGTGCCATTCTTTAGAGCGAGGATCAACTTAGATTTACAGTATGGAGCGAGTTATCAATCACTCTTCATTAGTGTAGAATGGGACCTCAAGCTCGGCCAAAGACGTGGAAGCAAGAGAGTTAGAGTTATTAACAATCAAACAGTGCGCACATCTTTTTGGGACACTGTATATTTCGATGTACACGAGCATCATCGAAAAACGGTTCGTCAGTTCATCGAAAAACTCAGAGCCTACACAATCCATTTTTTGTCAAAAGCATCCCAAGCAGTGTCATATTAGGTCCTCGGTACAAACTTTACGATAATTTCATCGACTTCCTCAAAGATATACGACTTTGAAATAGGGAGCGATTTCTTGGGAACCACACGAAGCAGTGAAATTCTGAGCTGTATGGTCAAGTATCAGGTATAAGAAATCTTATAACATGGATAGAAAAAGAAGAATGCAGTCTGAGTAGCAAAATATGGCGCGTCCCTTCTCACATCCCCCCCCCCCACGGGCGATGTATGCTACGGGACTGAGAATCAGCAAGGAAGGAGCTGTCTCTCAGAGAGTGACAGCCACATTTGGTGCAAATCTCGAAAACACTAAGGCTCGTACGCATTAACAACCCTGCGGCGAGGGAAGCAGTGTCCCTCGATATGAAGCGGCCGCAGGGGAACGCAGCTGCAGCTTTTTCATTACAGAACGCCGCTCCCCTCGCCGCAGAGATGTTAATGCATACGGGTTAAGACGAGAGCTATTAGGGATCTCTTTTGCACATCTAAAGAAGCAGAAAGAAGCGGAACCTAAGAGCGCATCCACTACTACCTTTGACAAGTTTAGCCAAGATTTTCCAAACACTTACGATCGTGCAAAATTGCCCTGCTTCTCGTCTGACACCCCGGCTTTCAGAGCAAAAGTTACCAGGAATTCTTTCCATTTTGAATATCAGTAAACAACATTGTGATTTAGTGCCGGTAGCAAGCAGGTGTTAACAAGTATCGTGCATCTTTCAAAATTGTTCCAATAAATACCATTAACGTGGCGCTTTTCGAGCTTTAACATGTCAACTTCGAATGAGCACCTCAAATTTGCTGGAGTTAACGTGCTAAAACGATCAGGCAGGCACGTTGATGGTACACATGGGAGCAATTCTGAGGGATGCACCATAATTTATGAGTTGATGGCCGCCCTGAATGATGACAAACGAAAATTTGTTTAGGACACTTGCATGCCCTATCCATTTCCGCCATGTCACAAAAGTGATAATCACACAGCTCCAGCTGAATGCTCTCACGCACCATTTCGCACGCCCAAGTGTGTTCATAAGTGCAACAAAAACTACACTGAAGGTTACGAACAGGACAAACACTATGGTGCTGATTTTGACGTTTCGCTTGCTGTGACCTTAAGGATGTCTATGTAGGCTTGATGTCTTACGCAATCGACAATAATGAGGATGCGATACGTAAGGAACTCATGACCTACGGACCAATAGAAGTAGCTTTCATGGTGTACACAGACTTCTTCCATTATAAGAAGGGCATATACAAGGTAACCTGCAAGTGGGTACGCATTAATTCTTGAGAGAATATTATTCAGCATACTGCCGGCTTTCTTGCTGGAGGACACGCTGTCAAGCTTATTGGGTGGGGAAAAGAAGAGGAGACTCCATATTGGCTTATTGTCAACTCATGGGGAAAGGACTGGGGAGAAGAAGGTAAGTTGCAATGTGCTTGTCACATAGGGAGCACATGAACATCAATACAAGCAAGCATTTTGAAATATCATGAAACGACGTGTAACCCACAGAGTGCTGCCTTTTATTCAAAAAATGGTTGGTAGCTGTTTTGAGAATAGTTCAGACAGTATTTCATCAACAACAATTTGTTAGCGTCGAATTGCAACTAATTTCAGGATTCTTCAAGATTCTTCGCGGCTCAAATGAATGTGGAATTGAGAAGTATGCCATAGCAGGAGTTCCCAAAGTGTGATTTCTTGTTCTACTGCACATGTATGATATGATGCACGCTTTGCTAAGAATTAGCGCCTAATCACGTACTATGGATAACTCTTGTACAACATGAGTTGCGACAAGTCTCTTAGAATATACGGATAGAAGTGGTACATGACAATATGGCTCCACAATAAGCATTTTACTCTAGCATTTGAAAACACGGCATTTCAATAAATTCAAAAGCTGGTTCTCAGTGAGCATGCAAGCTTTGACAAAAACGCAAAGTGCTTCTAATTCAAGCTTACAACACGAAAAGATTTCCAAAATCTATCATGACTTAAAATGACGGGCTAAGAGTGTCTAAGTGTTTGTGTATGTGTGTCTGTCCGTTTGTCTGTCAGTAACGAAATTCATAGAACGAGTCGCAGACGAAGTTTCAAGCCTCAATTTTGTGCACAACACACAATGCCAACATCCAGATTCACCATGCAGAAGGACGAGCAGATCCGTCGAATGAATCAGAAATTGCGCGTTAAACGGATCCGCTTGGCTAACACTTTTTGCAGAGTTAAGATCACGTTTAACAACCCAATATGCAAGCCAAAATCTTTAGCGCAAAAAATGATGAAAGTGTATCACTCCACGAAAACGGCGCCAAAAAGAACTGGTTGCATAGGTGATTAAAATGCCAGGGTTTTTACCTAGGTATTCGAGGAGATTTTTGACAAGGATGTAGCTCACAGCGTACATATATTATCTTTACGGCGATTACCAGGTTATGAAAGACTTCAAAAGTGTTCTGAATCCGCATTTGTTCTTCATCTTTCAAAGTTTTATCCACGCAAAGTACCGATCTCACACGAAAAAGCCTTCGGAACAAGTAGTTGTTTGATTTATTCGTGAAGACGGGCATTGCGCGGTAAGATTCAATGCCATCTCATGCTCTCATGCGAGAATGAGTGTGGCATACAGATAGGGGAACCAGTGCGAGCTTCTGCGAAGCAGAAGTGACGCACTGGTACATAGGCTGATTGTTGGTAAATTGTTAGTGAGTGTATTTTTTGGAAATTTTTGTGATCGATCAGCGACAAACTTTGCACACATATATTTTCGACATCGGTCCACCTCGTAGGCTACTTTGGCGCGGCCAAAATTACGATCCTTCTATTGATTCATCGATTTTGAAGAAAACTGAATTCTTATCAAGTACTATCAAACATTTCCAACTTTCATGTAAACAATAGTGGCAGAACTCAATTTCATTGCGCAAGGCCGATAATACGGTAATTCACGGCGAGCGGTCAACAGGTATCTGCCCTGTGTCACACGAGAATTAGAAAGAAGCCAAAACGTAGATGAGGTGGGCTTCTAGAGTTACGCACTGCTAGGCTCGCACATTTCCAGACCCATCTGCTTCGCAGATGAAAAATCTGCGTGCTAAGGTAGCGTACCGCTTGTCCACATCTTTGAACTCCGGATTTAACGTTGGAATTTCATCACGCTTATGCATTTTGATGAGAGTGCTTCCACAGCAGCACAGTTCCTCCAGAGCACGTGGCACAGAAAGGTGCTGTCTCGTACTTTGCATCAATGTTTGAGAAACGCTAGAAAGTTGATAAAAGAGCGTGTGACCGTGTGCAATTGCGATCACAAAATACGCAGTTCACATAATAATGGCTAAGGGCTGCTTGCTGCAGGAGAACTTTTGTGCAGACATTTGCGCATTCCGCCAAAACCAGAGCAAGTCCTGGAATCGTATGTGATCTATGCATGTTATTGGTTCACTCTCAACACGATTATCAATCTTTTACAACAGAAACGGCAAGAAGAGTAGGAAAGTCAACAGCATTCAACAATAGCCTCAATTTTCAGTTAGAGGTACCACTTGATTAACCCTTTCGGACCTGGTGGTGGCAATTGCCACCATCAAATCAGAAACCTGCTGTACTGACGCAAGAACATCATTTTATTACTGATTGCCATAGAACGCTTCGTATACCCTTTGCCTTCCGAATGCAGCTTTGAAACCGCATGTTCGTTCGTTTTTCTGTCAGCAATATATACATTTCTGTATCCAAGTGAATTGCAACCAATCAATACTTTGCGCCTTCTTCAGCACCGTAGTATCTCCTTTACTAGCCAAGAATAATCATAATATTATCATGTTTGAGTACAACGTTGAACAAGTGTAAGTGCAAATTGTTCGCTGGTCCACATGTATCGAAGAGGATTTGAAAATCCAAAATAAACGCAAAACCAGAAAATCGAAAATTAAAAAGAAATAGTTTATATGGTTGAAAAGACTTCAAACTCCGTTGTAAGGTTATTCATGTGGTAGTAAGTATAAAACACTGGAAGTCAGGCTTCTCTATTTACTCCGAAAAACTCAGGTCCTACAGGGTTAAACGGAATTAGCGGCTGAAAGACGACCGCCCGCGCCCGCAAGCTGTCTGCGTTTCTCTCGCGAGCGTGCTCTCTGGTCATTCTCTAGCCTTGACAGCCTTGACTAGGCCTCGAAGCCCCGCGTTGCAGCCGTTAGTCCCGCTGAATCAAAGAATACTATGGTCAATGATGGGTAGCAGTAAACGAAACGAGAATAGGATGATTACAAAGAACTTGAAGTTGCAAACAAAGGAAGGGGTCAGGAAACTTAGGGCAAGGCTTTAGAAGCAAATCCAAGCGGATATTCAAATAGCACAGCCCTACATTGCATATGTTTACAGTTAACGGACAACGTAATTGCATTCACGGCTACAGAATTGTAATAAAGACTTATTGAGAGCTTTTACTCGATATAAATTTAGTCTTTACTTTAGCAATTCCCCAAGTGCGTGCGTTTGAAATTTCGTAACAAGCGCTATATGATATGGAAGTGTTTGAATGCATTTGGGCAGTCTATCGAAGACGCAAGAGCAAGAGTCGCAGACGCGGTATTAGCCACAGAGTGTATGAAGCCGTTTACAACGGTTAGCTACGCGTTCGCAGCGTTCGCGATAGCTCAATTAATTCTGCTTTTTCGCCTTCGTCGCGTACTAGCTATAAAGTTGCCAGCAGGTCACCAGACATGGAAAAAGTTCAAGTATTGTTTATGTTTATGCTTTTTTAGTCAAACAGAAAGTGATAAACGACTTGAAAACGATTTTCAATCTTGGGGATTTTTTGAGGGACCAAGACGACAAGAAAACAAAAATGAGCAAAGAATTGCGTGCAAAGGATGATTGAACGGATACTAGCATGTGTCGTGATTGAAGGGACGAAAATGAAATGAGTAGAGAAGAAGGTACTAAGTTGTTTCAAAAGTTCTGTCCGATTTGCATATTTCTAATTCAATATGTCATAGCTCAAGTCAACATTGTATAACAAATGAAGTTTTGCTGGATTGTGCGATACTATGGCTATCATATAAACAGTATGTCATGCCAAAAAGTCAATTGAAGGAGTAGAGAAAATCCAGAGAATTTTGCAAGGTTTTCTTCAAGACAGTCTACTTTGACATACTAATGCTCCAATATAAGGATAGGCAGACACATTTGGCTGCCATAAACAAGTAGCCCACACTTTAGAGAATATTTAGCGTCCAAAGAAAACTCAAGTTGTCTTTGCTGCCTAAAATTTTTTATGAGCAAATAAAAAAATTCATTATTTGAGTCCTTCTCCGCGCGTGCAACTATGCCGAGTTCTCGATATTTGGTTTTTTCTTGCTGTCGCGAATGCAAAACTCTAATTGGCTATGGTCCCTGCTTGCTCTCGCTTTAATCTCACACATGCGATATCGAATACATCACTTGTCGCTATACATAGGTTGCTGTCGATTGTTATATTAGGTTGCTGCATAAGTTCTGTCCGATTTAAATTTTTTGAATTCAAAACGTCGTAACTTCTTCAACTTTTTTTACAAGATCTTAGATTCTATGTGTTGAGCAGTTCCTTGACTATGAAACACATATTGAGACCTGCGCAAGTCCTTGTTAAGGAAAAAGCAAGAATGCAAAAACTTCACAGCGTTTTTCTTCAAACCTGTCTTTTTTGACATGGCAACGCTCCCTTATGAGAATTGATAAAGATCTTATCTAACAATAGATAGATGAAGAAATTTTCGTAGATTATTATGCAGCATAAAAGAGCTCATAAGGTCTGCGCTGCCGAGAGATTTTTTTTGACCGAGCAAAAAAGAACCCACTTTTTGACCTCGCTTCAGCACATGTGTGTATGCCTATTCATGAATTATGAACATTTTACAACTGACATGGGCGCCGAAAAGGAACTGGTGGATGGGCCCTGTTAGCTCTTGCTTTGCCCTAGCACCTCCAAGTTTGAGGATCGATTACTTCTATTCGCAGAAAGTTATTGCTTGTAAAACATCTATACCAAAGATTAATGTTCGACGATAAATTTTACTAGCAAGACGTTTTCTTCATGGAACCGAACTTCTGCATATACTAGCATTCTATACCCTTATTCCACAGTCAATGAAAGAACTTGACTTGAAGGACGCATTGTGGAGATTTCCTCGCAAGAACATATTTCTAGGGTGAGAACGTACCTCGGCCACTTAGAGATTTTAGGCCTGAAATCTCCGTACACTAAGAAATTTATTGAAATAAATATGCATTAGAAAGCGCAAGGAAAGCACTTTTCAACGATGCCAACAACATTGCATTAGAAATGAAATACTTTTAGAACAGCTGCTTCAAACATGAGGCAAAAAAATGGGACAGAACTTATGCAACAACCTAATACAAGGTGCAAAGTTTTTTTACAAATTGAATATGAATTAACACGTTTACAGGAAGTTCCTCGTAGCAGAAAACTGTCATAGCTCACTGCCAAAAGGTAGCAAGTGAAGGTGTCACACAAAATTCTGCTCTGAGAAAGATGTTGCGGGAAGTCATTTCCAAAGCCTGCAACAATTTTCGAAATCGCCGCCAGGACAGCAGATATCTGCCAAACGATTATGTCAACTTCAAGTATGCAAAAAAATAGTAAGAAAGAATCAGTTTCTTTATCAGATATTTCTTAGTTATTGTTCGTACTATT